CTTCACGAAGGCGTTTTCCACGTTTTGCAGGGAAGGAAAGCCAACATTCTAAGATTGGTGTACTCAAGACCACACAGTCACAGCTGGAACCCAAGTCAATCAAGGTCCCCGGTCCACTCATGCTGCTGCACGTGCACTTATGGTGGGACCCATAGCTCAGTTTTACATAGAGACTTCTTTAACTAAGGCTAACTCAAATATATCATCTTTGGAAGGAAGAGTACAATGTCTGCTGAGTGTAAGAACAGCCCAATTTCTGCATAACAAAACTACTCCATCTTATTAAGTGGCTCGACTTCCAGACTACAGGAAATGCGTGTAGGAACATTGTCATCATTCCCAAATTGTTCAACAAATCTACCTGATGTGGTATCTTCTGACTCAAACCTCAGTTCCCATCTGAAGGAAGGGTGGCAACACTGTTCTGTTCATGTCAAGATGACAAATCAACATTTCACTACCAATTGCCAATAATGATTTTTTAAAAAAGAAAAAAAAAAACTTTTAATTTTTTGCTCTTTACCCTCCAGAACAGGTTTGCTTCTACTTCTAAATAATGCCTGGCTGAAGACAGGGGATTGGGAGTTCAGGATAAGTAAGAGCAGGCTCTGCCCTGGAAAGCAATCCACATCTTCCTGTTGTGACAGCAGCTGCGTCACCTTCATCACTGCCATCACCTGCTCAGCTAACATTTGCGAGTGTTTGTGTTAACTGAATGCTCTCGATGACTCCATTTTACAGATGAGGTTGAGGCACAGCCAGCCCTTTCAATAACTCGTACATGAAGGGAGTAAAACAATGTGAATATTGCTATGAAGCAGGTGTTCCTATTTCAAAAACAATTGTAGGACACACACACATACTTTTATATTTAGAGTTGTGAAGTCTGCTGGCCCTGGAAGACTGTGAGTTCCTTCCTCAACAGAGACAGCATTTGGCCTTCCCAAACCATTGATGAAGGATGAAGGAGGTAGCCTAGACTCGGGCCAATTGCTAAAATGCACAGGGATGGGTTATGAAACAATCTGTAGGGCTACTTCCTGACTTAAAATTACCTCTGCAGAGACGTGGCCCCAAAAGAGCTAGAATACAACAGCCGATTCCCGTTCTAAGTGATGTGCATGTAGGAGCTGGGGGCAGAATCAGACCCTAATGCCAGTTCCCAGCCAAGGTACACACCAGCTAGTGGCTCTCAAACTTTGGTGTGCTTCAATTCAACCAGGGAGTTTGTCACCAATGCTGATTCCTGGGCCTGCCCCCAGGGTCTGATTCTGAAGCTGAGGGGTGGGGTTCTGGGATGGCATCTTTGTAACATAACCCAGGGGATCTGACGGGCCCACTTAGGTAAGCAATGCCTTAGCTCTATGGTAAGGAGTGGGGGACTGTGTTTGAGTCTATGGGAAGCCATTTTCAACCTGTGACAGGGTTCAAAGTGATGGCTTGAGGTCAAGTACAATATCTCTTCATTAAACAACTTTCTTTTTAAGTTAGGTTTTTTCCCTTTCCTATTCACTGAGCATTTTTTCTCTGTATGTAACTTTTAGTTGTTAAAAAATGTAAACCCCCACACATGATGATTTTACTTTGAAATTAGGAGTTGAAACAAAACATGGAGGCCAGGGTCACCTTGACTTCTTTTTTAAGACTTTGTTTACTGTGGGGTCTTGGCTATGGAACACAAAGATCATTTCTCAGGAGCAGCTTTCTGTCTCCTGCCGCGGGAGAGGACTACCCACGCGGAGCCTGCAGGGTTGGAGCTGGATACCCGCGCGTTGCCACAGCCCCATGCCTCCTCCGAAATTCCAAATCGGTGGGATATTACATAAAGGAATCACAAGCCAAAATAACTTTCTATCTTTTGGACAGTAGGAAAATGAGTATTTGAGAAATTCAAAATCTCAGGAACAGGAGGAAGAAGTCTTCACACTGTGTCCTACCCAGCTCTGATTCCCACTCAAAACAATGTTGTAGTAACAAAGGCCGATCTTAGCCAGGGACTTGGTGTATACCAGAGGCCAGGCGGAGTTTATGTCTATATTGTCTCATTTAATCCTCACAACCACCCCGTGAGTTAAGTATTATTATTTCAATTTTAAAGATGAAGAAGAGGTTAAGAAACTTGTCCACCTAGTAAGGGCACAGTTAGAATTCGAACATAGGTTTTCTAAGGCCAAAGCCTACATGCTGACCCTCTAAGCTACACTGTTTACATATACATGTGCATATTGGTTTTACTTTATACACACACATATATATTACCAATGCATATGCATATATACCAATATAGATACACATTTATATTGTATATACAAGCGTGTATTGCTAAGTGTCAGTGTGGTGACACAGTGAGGTCCTGCTCTTCAGAGAACCCACTCCTGGAAGGAACCCTTTCTTACCCAACCCAGGTACCAAATAAACTTAGGGTACAGCTACAGTGAGCAGGATCCAGGGTTCATCTCATTTCACAGTGTGCTTGAGTCTTTGCTGCTACAGAGCCTGGTGTCCTGAATGGCTGCCCCCAACATGCAGGGGTTGCTATGTCATTCCTTTGCAGCTCACCGCCAGACTGTATCACCTGACGGTCTTGAAGGAACTTCTCTTGTCCTGCTTTCCCATTTGCACAGCTTAGGAAGCAAGGAGAGAGCTTGTGTTGGTGCTTGAATAAAACCTTTTCTTTCCAAACTTAAAAGAGAGACGAAGTCAAAATTGCCCTAGGAAATCTGACCAGAACCAGCCTAGGGAACCTGACTTCTCCATGGCTACAGGGTCAAAGGATACTATGCATTACTCCCTCCACCCCACTACCCCCTACTCCAGCTAACCAAAGCCAGGCAGGTGTAATGAGCTCACCCTAAAACGGATCATGGTGGGGAGTGTGGGCAGAATTGCTGAGCTGCTGTTTGGGTGGGAGTGAAGGTGACATGTAGCTCCGCTGTGGCCCAGGAAGACCACACCTGGAACTGGCCAGGTGTCATGGAAGGGCAAGAAAAGACACCAAGAAAAAAAGAAGGATCATAGGGCAGTCAGTTCAGAATTAGTCTAGATCAGAGGCTCTCACACCTAGCCCATCTCAGAATATACTTAGGAGCTTATTAAAAATGCAGATTCCTGATCTCCACTCCCACTCTCCCACTCCAGCTCCCACTCAGCAGGATCAGAATCTCTGGGGTTGAGGGAGGAGGATATGCATTTAAGCAACTGCTTCTGTAATTTTCATATTCACTGTCCTAGGTAAGTCAGTGCTAGTAATATGATCTTAAAGGCCAGATCAAGGTATGAAATTGTCCAAAGTTGCCCAGAGAGGTATGAATACTGTACAGATTTTTCTAGCTCATTAGTCTATCCTCTGGCAATTTTAGGGTCATTTTTTAAATCTTGGTTCATTTGAAGAGATATAGATCTTATTTTTGTTACGTTGATTTCCATTTTTGTTTTTCCTTTACGTGAGGCAGGTTCAGTAACAGCAAACTCCATCACACTGAAAAATCCTGTAGAACAGAAAAGATTACCTAGTCCTCTATCAGTGTTTCTTAGAGGGTGGTCCTTGAAGCTCTGCTCAGAATTGCCTGGGGACAAGGCACTTCCAGGAGGCAGCACCACATCTGCACTGGTAACATTCCTATGCATTTTTAAAAAAATTTCTGATGAACGCTGAATACTTTTTAATATATATAATCACACAATTCACCATTTTAACCATTTTAAAGTATATAATTCAGTGCCATTTAGTAGATTCACAATATCATGCCTCCATCTCCTCTAATTTCAAAACATTTCATTCCTCCCTAAGGAAACCTATTAAGCAGTTGCTCCACCTCCTGCCCCAGTTCCTGGAAAACACTAACCTGCCTTTTGTCTCTATGGGTTTGCCCATTCTGGATACTTCCTGTAAATTGAATCATACCATATGTGGTCTTTTGTGTCTGGCTCAGCAATTCCATGCCTCAGCATATACCCCAAAGAAGTGGAAACAGGTGTTCAGGCAAAAACTTGTATACGAATGTTCATAGCAGCACTATTCACAATAGCAAAAAGGTGGAAAAAATTCAATGTCCATCAACTGAGGAATGGAAAAACAAAACGTGGTATATACATGCAGTGGAACATTATTCAGTCATAACAAAGAATGAAGTACTGATTTATACTACCACATGGATGAACCTCCATAAAGTATCCTAAATGAAAGAAATCATATTGCATGATTCCACTTATAGAAACTGTCCTATACATTTTAATGTTTAACCTCATAACCCAAGATGCTGTAACTGCCAATGTAGCAGTTTTCCAAACCAACCAACAATTTTGGACTCTGTCCCTGGCAGTCCTGTTATCTCTATCACTACAAAAAACCTAGATCTTCTACAACATAGTTGTACAGGGGGTGGGGGAAAGAAAAAAAGGTGCAAGGCAGTTAGAAAGTAGAGTCAAAGTAGAGTCAAATATGACTCAAACTAGAGTCATATTAAAGTTATATTCAGGTAAATACTATGTAAATAAAACATAAAATAACTTTTCCTAAACCCAGGCTGCGTAATACGAGACGAGACCAGGGGTGGGAAGAGAAGAATCTTAGCCCACATCACCACAATTCTGCAATATGTTTTTTTCTTAACCAAGAGGTCATAATTTATTTTGGATTACACTATCACAGCTAGCAAGATACCTGTTAATTGTTTTTGTTCTGTATATACTTGGTTTCTAATTTGGTATCTAATTTGGTTTCACACAAAGAGACCAACGAGAACTCACAGTTTCACCTTCCTCCACAGCGTCTTACTGTGATTAGCCTTAAACTGGCAGGGAATTGGCAGTTTTTCAGTTTCCTTCTCTTTAAAATGCTAATAAGCCCCAACACTGCAGAGATCTCCACAGATCTCAGGTTTTCCTTGTTCTTTATAAAGCTCCCTCTGGAGCCATCTCGGTGGCTGCACTTTAAGTGAGCGGGGTGCAGAGAAGGACACCCGCAGGTCTCCTGGAGGCCAAAGGGGCTTATTGCTTACCGCTTCCATCAGCCCCTTCACCGTGGGCGACTTCAACATCAGCGCATCGAACACGTCGTCAGTCTCCTTCCTCACGTACAGCAGCACTGGAAGAGAGGGACAGCCATGTGACTGAGGGGCCCCAAGCTCCAGAACCACCCGGGGAATGCTTTCTGCCACACAGGTGTCTGAGGCTGGCGCCACCTGCCGGGCCTCAGATCCCTTGTCCAGCCGACATCCTACAAAGAGGACTGAGACACCTCCATAGACATCCTGTGGCTAGAGACGGGTGAGATAAATGAGAATTGGGCAACACCTATGTTTACACTTGAATTTCTCAAGGTGGGGCCATGATCTCTTCATGACATCTCTTTCTGCAGCCTCTTTATTCTATTTATTTGTTCATTCGGTAAATCTGACTGAATGCCCCCCAGGCCCGTGGGCTGTGTGTGCTGGGAGCTAGGGTTGCAGCAGGCAGTTGGTTAAGTCATCGCCCTGCCCATAGCAGTCTGCAGTCCACATAGAGGGCAGGCCTTCCTCAAACACGCAGACAGCCAGACACACAGTTATGAAGAAAAACGACATGAGAGAGTGCTTCTTAGGGCCTGGCCTTGCCCTGATGGGGTGGGGGGTGAGAAGCTCCAGGAAGGTCACCTTGAAGAAGGGAGCTGAGTTCCGAGGGACATGTAGGCATGGGGCAGGCAGGCGAGGGAGAAAGAGAACGGGGAGGGCAAACTCCAGGCTGACAACCAGCTTGTGCCCACGCCCAACAGGGAGATGGGGCACCAACAGGCAAGAGGAGGAAGAGGCTTAGGTTGTGGAGTCCCACAGGTCCGGTTTGGCCTCAGAGTTCAGGCCTGTGGTGGGCTCTGCTCACTTAACCTCTCCAAGCCTTCCTCTTCTCTGTGAAGCAGAATGGTTGTGTCTGCCTTGCAGGGCTGCGGTGAGGGTTAAACGGAGTAACAGCCATGCGGCATGCTTAGCACAGGGCCTGCACAGAGCACACACCGTCCTGAAATGGGGGATGAAGCAGTCGAGGTTCTAGTGCCCTCAGTGCTTTTCTACTCATTTCTCTGCAAAACAACCTTCTGAGTCTGAGAATGTCCAGAACATGAGAAAGGGTAGGGACCCCAGCTATTATTAGAGACGCGCATGCTGAGGTTCAAAGAGGCTGAGACACTCCCTTGGGGTCCCACAGACTGACAGCTGCTGGCTGCTGTCCCTCCTGCTGGCCAGTGGCCTCCCTGCCTGTCCCCATCCTTATAACAGCTACATTGCAGCTCAGCTCCCAGAAATAACTTGGACCTGCCACTCAGATGCAGCCCTCAGCCCCAGCAAGATGACTGCCCTTCCTGTCCACCTCCTGCCAGTGATGTGACTTCTGATGCTTCCTTCAGAGGGAAGGAAGAGGGTTAAAACTGAAGCCCATACATCTGGCCATCTAAGAAACATGCACAGATCAAACACCCTGCTGAGTCCGGATCCCAACAACAGTCAGATATCAGTAGGGCTACAATCACCATCAACTGGAAGAGTAAAGTGGGGGTAGAAAACGAAATCAGCTCTACCCAAACTCATTAGGGACTTCATTAAAGCTGCTTGCTTTACAAAGGCCACAGGGGCTCCTGCCTGCGTTTCCTTTCTGCAGCCGGTGGGTGTTCAGTTAGCATATGAAAAAGACAGAAAGGAAGAAAAAAAAGTCCTTAAGTATTGCAGAGTTTCTTCTCTTAACCAAATATAAAAGTAAAGTACCAATTAAATAAATAGATTGAATGTATCTCCAAAGATTTCCAAATCTAGTTCCTTGGAAGGAATATTTTATAGCCTCCATTTCAGCTAAAATGGTCTAATGGCTATAATAAGAGGACTCAATGTTAGAGTACAAGGAAAAATAATTAGAATATAGGACCTCAATTACATCCAGATAAGGATAATTAAAGTCAAAGAAAGAACGAGTATTGGTGGCTGCTGCAAATGAATGTTCTAGAACTTCTTCCCACAGCCAATGGGAGGGAAAAACCCAGTAATCTCCAGTAGGCTGATCCTAAGGACACCCCAAACCATATTCTGCTAGAATGAGTACAGCTGCCACTGGATTTGTCAATCTCTTATTTTGAAATCACTGTCTTTAAAATAATATGGCTGCTACTCTTGCTTCAGGTGTGGCTAGAAAGTGTCAAAGGGGGTATGGTGCCAGTCCATGGCCGGGCCGTGGGAGAAGTGCCAGGGCAGCTCCACCATTCTCCCCTGGGCCTGTTGACAGACATGCGCCCGGCATGCTGGGCTCACGGCACACCCCCACGCCTGCCCCAGGAGTGAGCTTTCATTAACGCTGCATCTGTAGCAAAGCAGTCATATTAATCACTCTGCGACGGTAGCAAGAACAGCCATCACGCACCCCAGACATTGCACAGACAAAGGCAGTCAGCTGCCCGGGCCAGCCCCCAAGCCACTCCGACCGACCCACCCTGACAAACGGCTACAAAGGCAAAACCACCAACAGTGACGGCACTGGTGAGTGATAATTATGATCATTTTCTCTCAGGCGACTTCTAACAAATAAATGAGAAGGAAAGTCACTGCCCCGATTCCGTGCATTCCTCAAAGCTCAGCTCCAAGCAAAGGGCTCAGTAACCCCACTGGACAGTCACTCCGGAGGGAACGTTTTCTCCAGTGCTGGTGGGTTACAGCGCCCTCATGTGTCTCTATGCTATCGATGTTTCAAAGGCCTTATTTTTGATCACAGCCCAATACAACTAACTGCCAGTGGCAAATTTTGTGCTGGCTTCACAATCTCAAAATAATCTGAAAAACACAGCCTCGGACTAATCACCGGGCACCGACTCTGGAGGCAAGCCCCTGTCACTCCTGAATTCCGCGTAACCACCCTGACTCTAGCGAACAGAACAGGCGTCCAGGAGTGGGTTCGAATGCACTCGAATATTTGACAGTGAGCTGCAGAGTCAGAAAAACTTTTACACGTTTAAATGTTGCTAATGTTACACCTAAACATTTATGTTCTTTCCATTCGGAAACTCTAATTATTTATTCGCAGTTATGAAGACAAAACTACATAGAGGCCTAGTAATAAAACTAACCGTTCTAACAGTGCACACAGAGCCCCGGGTGTGCTAGGCCCTTGCGCAAACTGTCTCACATGTGTTAACTCATCAATCCTCACAGCGACTCTGGGGCAGGTTCTCCTGCCACCCCCATTTTACAGAGGCGGACTCCAAGGAGCAAAAGGGGAAGACCCTTTCCGAAGTCACTCAACCCCGGGTGGCTGCGGCAGGCTGAAGAGGGAGGGGCTGCTCTAGACCATTCATTATGCAAATCCCATTATAACAAATAGGAAAAAAATAAGATTTCTCAGTAACAAAGAACTGAAGCTTGCGCAGGCAGTGGGCATATTTAACATGGTGAGCTGACTCACTGCAAGTCCAGTTCTGTGTAAGTCTAAAGTCTCTGGAAGCCTCGGTGTTGGCTGCAGCGAGATGGGGTCCTCCCTCTTACTCCTGGAAGGACAGTGAACCGCACAGACACGCTGGGCCAGACATCGACATGCCCATGCTCTGTTTCTAACCCTCTTGGTAAACTAGGGTAAGACCCTTGACTGAGAGAAAATGAGTAAGTGGTGATGTCACAGAAAGCTGAGGCTCATTTATTTGTGTGAGATGAATCGTTTGCATCTACTGAGTGACTCTCGATTGCTGGTTCTTTGTGGTGATTGTCACACACACAGCCAGAGTTTCTTTTTAACCTTGCATCTTGCTGCTAGTGTGTTCATTCCATTTCTCCCAAGGCAAAGGGAAGAACCCTGGGCGGAATAAACATTTACTTAAGGTGCTTAAAAGGACAGGTGTAAAGTGAAGGGGAAGACTGAGGAATTCCTGCGTGCATAAAAAGTCACAGGCTGGCAAGGAGCCACAGGGGCCTGGCCCGGGGCCCGGGATGCAAGCTCTTCTTGGTAAGACGCCCCCCATCCCTCCTGGGAGGCTCCTCAATGGACACAACACCATGGCGGCGCCCAACTGGAGACATACCTCGCTTCATCCCTTCTTCTTTCATCTGCTTGGAAGGCACTGGACCAAACTCCTCTTCCATGGGCCTGAACATCCGCTTAACCAGGACACTGCTGGTAGAAAAGATGGGCACAAATTGTTAGGTAAAGCCGGCAAGGTGTGAAACACAATTCATGTATGTGTCGGTTTCCACCCTTTCCCTTTGTTTATACCATCCCTGGCTCTCTTCAGCTGATCCACTCACCAATATCCTCTTCCCCTGGCAGGTCCCAAGTCAGAACACACACACCAATATCTTCAGGGCATGGACCTATCACATACTCTCTGTTGTTGAATATGGACCACAAAGGTGAGGCTTTGGGTTTCACCTGCTTCATCTTGCACCTGTCCCCTCTTTCTGCCCAGGTCAGAGCTTGGGGGAGGTCGGTCTCTGATGTCTGTGTGGTCTGAGTCACATCAGCCCCTCCCATCCCACTGAGGCTGGGGTGGCCTGCCCCCTTGTGCCAGCCCCTCAGGGCACAGCAGTAGCCCGTGGAAAGGACATGGGCCTGCCTCGCTGGTTAAGTTACAAGGAGCCCTGCTTTCCTGCTGTTCTGCCTCTCCATCTGGCTGGAGAGGGTGAGCCTGAGGGGGGGAAGTTCCTAGAAACCAGGCCCTGGCAGCCTGGGCCTCTCCTCCTCCTCAGGAAAGGTGTTCAGTTCCCCTCCTAGAATCCCATGGTGCCAAGGGCCTGCACACCCCCCAGTCTGGTCAGTTCTGATGGCTCTGCACCTCCTCCCAGAGTCCCTGTCCACCTCAGGCACCCTAAGGAAGGGGAGGATTATTTGAGAGAAACAGAAATTGGAAGGAGAGAAGTCATTAATACCAAGAAAATACTCCTGAATGGAATCTTGCTATTCTTCAAACCCTCAAGGGAGTGGATGCAGATTTTTAGAAAGTTTTAATCTCTGGGGATTCCTGGGACATAGTGCCAATCATAACCGCGAAAGACAACGCGAGCACTATGATCCTGAATAATTCTAACGTTATGCTTTTTGGGACTTTGATCTTTCAGGATTTTCAACATTCAGGATTATAGCAATCGATATTGAATCTTTCAGAATTATGGCCCAGCACCCTGGGACCAGGCACATGAGCCAATGCCAGACAGGCAGTGTAGCGGAACTGTTAGGACAGGAACCCTGGGGCCAGACTACCTTGGTTCAAATCCCTGCTTTACAATCTGCTGGCTGTAGGAACCTCAGCAATTCCTCAACCTCCCTGGCCTCAGTCTCCTTATCTTTAAAAGTAGGCTGTTGAGAGAATTGAGTGAATTCTCATATATAAAGTACTCACAAGGTCCCCTGACACATTGTAAACACTTTTGAAGTGTTAGATGAAGATGAAGATGATGATGATGATTACAAGTTGGAGAGATTTGAGGAAGAGAGACCTGGAGAAGATTAAATGAGGACAACAACTTGAGCGAGGTTAGAGTTTCCATTTACCATCAGATAGCAAACAATCCAAACTGCCATTTTGGTCCAATTTAAGGACTGATGTTGGTAAAGTTCCCTGTGTGGGAGATGGACAGTATATCAATCCCAAGCTTTCAAGATCATGCAAAACCCTGCAATTCCATGTTAGCATTATTGTCATTATGAAGTTATTTATCAATTCTCAAGCTGAGTTCGTGGCGGGGCCCAGTGGTAGGAAGAGCACGTGGTACGAAACTGTGGACAGTTGTTACAGCATTTCTATTCATTCTAACAGTTCAAATAACTGAACCAATGATGCTTTAATTTTCCTTCTCATACTCTACCTAGTCCATCAAGGTCCTTAATAAGACTTCAGATGTTACAAAGTACTTATTATCTCCTTGTTCTTTTAAGTCTCATGAACACTTGGTCGGCCAGCCAGGACAAGGGCCAATTATCCTCACTTCAGTGATGACCAAAGGCACAGTGTGTTATGTGTCTTACGCAGGGCAATGCAGCTAATAAGTGAAACAGGCTGTTCAGAGAACCCCCTTTAAGGGAGCAACCTTGTGATAAAGTTACTCAGTAAATGTGAGATGATGACAAGTAAGGGTATGAGAGATGCTGTTAAGAGTCAGCATTCTCCTATTTTATTCCCTAGTAAGGGAAAATATGGAAACAACTGGAGAAAAAACCTGAAACTCAAGTCTTAGCTGAAGGTGGTATTAAGTTTTTAGGGCACTGTTCCCTCTGCTTCCCCTCGCTACCTTGTCACAAAAGCAGGTCATGTTACTCTGTCACGTCCTAGAACTGGAGTGACTATGGGCTCAGGATTAGATGATTAGAAAATCCATTTACACAGCAGTCAGTGACCAATAGGTTAATAATGGATAAATAGCCTGAAATATCACCACCCTCTCATGCCGTGTGAGGGTTCCGAGGCTAGTGATTTTCTTTCTCACCAAGCATGATTTATATTTTTCCAGTTCTATTGACTTTTGATAGCACCCTATTCTGAACTGTGACAAACTTTGCCATTAAAATAACATCTTGGACAAACCACATTTCTCTTGGGAGTTCAAAAATGCTTTATCACACTTTCAAATCTATAAAAACAGTGGGAGTCAAAAAGTTTATGTGGTTCAAATTCAACTGTTTCATTTATTTTCAAAGCAAGTCAATAAAGAAAGGGCAGATGTGACTGCCCCATTTGACAGGTGAAAAGAACACAAATTTTAGGTCTCCTCATGCCCAGTATGATTGCAGTCAGCCTTCTCTAGCCATGGGTTCTATGTCTGTGGCTTCAACTAAATGCAATAAAAAATATTTGGAAAAAAAAATTGCATCTGTACTGAACATGAGCAGACTTTTTTTGTCAATATTCTCTAATCAATACAGTATAACAATTATTTTCATAGCATTTACATAATAGATATTATATGTAATCTACAGATGATTTAAGGTATACAGGAGGATGTGTATAAATTATATGCAAATGCTACACCATTTTCTATCAGGGACTTGAGTATCTATGAATTTTGGTATCTGCGGGAGGTTCTGGAACCAATCTTCCATGGATACTGAGGGATGAATGTTCACTGGATAGTACCACAAAAGGACCAGAGACGAAGGAAAAGGTGCTTTCTCTGACACCAGTCTCCATCTGACTGGCACACAGTGCTGATTAATATGTAGGTCCTGCAGCACATACAGCAGTTACCTCGGTTACCTTGTGGGATTGACCTCAGGGAAAGCAAGTCTCCGAGGGATAAACAAAGGAGCATGAAGTTTCATCAGAAAAGCATTTGGAAGGTGTCAGGTCCGAAGTGTGGGTCTCTGGCCATACCCAGGGAAGGCAATGCTGTGTCCTGCCTGCCAGGCTGAACTGCACTGGGCGTCAGGTGCCTAGTGAGGAGGTGCCCAAAAAGAGTACAGAAAGGGGATGCAGGCTCCATGCAGACATGGCTTGTCTATTTCACAACTCTGCTTATGGCCGACGTGCACTAATTACCAAGGATTCCCTAAATAAATGGAGGTCTCTTGCCCATGTTACCCTCTTATATCCATACAAAGTCTTTAACATTATGGAGTGGATCTCAATTAATTTATTTTCAACAAACTAGTCTTTGGGGCAGAATCTATCATCCCCAAATGATTTCAATCAATACTAAATTGGAGTGTTTAGTAGAATTCATCTAACAGAATCAGCAAAAAATCAAAACCAAACAAACAAAACAAACATAGATTTAGTTACTGTTACTGCAATATGACCTCAAAATTGCAAATGACCAGATCAGTAGGCCCCAGAGGGATCGTTTTAAAAGGTAAAACAGACATTTCTGTTTCCAGCTAAAATGTTATAACTTGTGGCAGACCAATGTTCCAGCCAAGAACAACCTGAAATACTACCTAAATTTTTTAAAAAACCTTATTGAAGGTATTGGAGAGCTGCTGGTAAGGGAGCTGAGATCTCCTAGAAAGAACTGCAGAGGGGTGACCTGATAATCAATGAGTACTCTTCCCCTCAAAGTATTTGCCCACTCTTGGCTGGGGTGCAGAGGATGAAAATGCCAGCAGAGGCACACCCCTAAGGGCAAAGAAGCTTACATAGTTTTTGGTAATCTCACAGTGCTAAAGAAAGAAAGATTGGGGTTTAGGGCTGCAAAGGTACCCAGGACTAATGGTCAAACTTCCAGAGAGTAGGGAGGCACAGAGAAGTAAGCCAGACATTCTATAATATTCCTGCTGAGGTATTTACCAAGTTCTTAAGCTGCATAAGACAAGAGAATAAGTTAGGCAGAAAGCCCTTAAAAATCATAGCAGAGGTTTTGGCAGTCTCACCACGCTAAGGAGACAAAAGTCAGATATGAGGCCACACCAAGGAAGATGACACATAGTAAGTCCCTCAGAGCTAGGATGAGCCAAAGATAGTCTGAAGCTAACACAAACTGCAATCCAGGTTTGAGTGAGTTCTGTCCCTGACTCAATCATGGCAATCTGCACCCACTCAGGCAGCACAACAAGGGATAGGGAAACTTTCATAAGAGAGAAATAGGCTGTACAGAGCCTCTATAATTTTTATTTATGTATATTGTTCACCATCGAATCAAGATTTATCAAGTAGACTAATAAACAAGACCGAAGGAAAAACAGATGATAGAAACAGACCCATAGATAACACACTTATAGTACAGTTATTTTAGTTATCAGATATGAACTGAAAAATAATTGTAATTATTGTGTTCATGAATAAATGGCAAATGAATAAATGAATAAATAAAGAGCTGGAATCTATTATTAATAAACCAATTAAGTGGAAACTCTTAGACTAAAAAACACAATAATTAAAATGAAGAACTCAATATATGAGTTTAACAGTAGATTGGACCCAATAAAAGAATTTGAAAGTTAGGTAGGTAGAAAATAACCAGGCTGAAGCATGAGGAGCAAAGAAGATGAAAAATTCAGAAAGGAATATAAAAGACATATGGACACAATAAAAAGTTCTAATGTGCATTTAGAGGTTCATAGAAGTATAGACAGAGAAGAGGAAAGAAGTAATATTTGAAGAGAGAATGACTGAGAATGTTCTAAAACTGATAAAGACATGAACAATAAACAGATTTAATAAATGCTATAAAATGCCAAGCAAGAAAAAAAAAGCAAAGAAAATCTACACATGGGAACATCATAATAGAAATTCTTAACACCTATGAGAAAGAAAAAACTTTAAAAGCAGTCAAAAAAAAAAAAGAAAGAAAGAAAGAGAGAAAAGAAAAGAAATATTATATTCAAAGGAGCAACAAGACAGGCTGACATCATCTCAACAGAAATGATGAAAACCAAAACATACAGAAAATAACTGCCAACCTGTAATTTTATATCTAGCAAAAATATGCTACAAGTGATTGCAAAATAAAAACATTTACACAAATAAATAACAAACAATCTGAGAGGATTCTTTGCCAGAAGTTCCATGACAAAAGCAATACTAGCCAGGGTTATCCAGGCAGTAGGAAAAGCAATGAAGGAATGAGCAACAACAGAAAGGGCAGATGTAGGTAAGATGTTTAAAAGAAGTGTAAAGCTCAGTTTTAAGAGTCTTAAGTTTAAATCTCTTAATTTGCAAAATGGCAAACAAGTAAGAATAACTGGTACTAATATGAGAAATTGGTGAAAGCCTATGACTCTGAGGGATGGTAAAATTTTCATTTTCTTAAGTATTTTAAAACCTCCATTGAATATCTGGTGCTGATTTGAGTACTACTGAGTGGATTTTTAAATGCAATAACTAAGAGTAAACAATAAGAATATTTTCATTGAAAGGAGGAGAGCTTCTTACAGTTGCATATGAATTTATAATTATCTTAATTAAAAGTTTAATTAAAAACATACCAAGAAATGGGAGACAGCATTGTGGCAATCACTTTTATGTGATCATTTCTTTCTAATGCTATGAAAACCAGTATTTGTGGCTTGGGAATAAGATTTAGAAGGACTACCAGGTGCTGCAGTGGCATGTGCCTGTGGTCCCAGCTACTCGAGAGGCTGAGGCAGAAGGAGCCCAGGAGTTTCAGGCTGTGCTGTGCCATGATAGCGCCTGTGAATAGCCACTGCACTCCAGCCTGGGCGACATAGTGAGAACTCATCTCTTACAAAAAAAAAAAATTTCCAAGGACAATCTCATGTATATGTGTTTAAACTGCGCCGTATCTCAACGTCGATAGCAATGAAGAATTGCCCTGATAAACAGTGTGAGATGAAGTAAAAAGTAACTTTAATACTGAGAAAGAACTTGATGTCAAAGATGAATTACGAAGAATTTGAATAAATGTGTTTCATAAAATGTGACAGATATTTCTAAATTATGTAATATATTATTCTTCAAAAGTATGTATAATCAAATCAGCAAAGCAAGTATCCGTAAATTACTCTTGGCTATAGCCATAAAGATTTACTTATTCAAGTTGGCCCAAAAGCTTTAATTTATGTTTTTCTCTTTTCCTTGGGAAATTGGGGAAATTGCCCAATATTTTTAATCACTTTATGTTCATGTATATGTGGTAAAACACAGCCCACCATATCCTACATTTCATAGTTTGTTTGGCATCCCTGAGAACCCTATTAAAGAAAAACACTTGATTCTCTGGGAAATTGCTCCTTTAAGAGAAATAGCGCAGAATGCTAGAAGAATTTTATTTTGTAACCCCGTAAGGACTGCCGATGAACACAGTGTGACAACTTTTTAGTTTTAACACTATGTTGATTAAATGTTCTTGCAGTTGATTGGTTAATAACCTCTAACTCCCCCAAAAGGCACTGAATTCTAGCCAAAGTATTTGCATTCACAGAAGAGCATGCAGAACTGCCTTTTTCTCAGCAACACTGTGACTGAGCTCAAGGTTTACTCTGAAAGCATCTATAGGACGTCCCTCTTGCAGGAGAGGCAGGGCTCTCTCTGCTGGAGACACTCAGAGAGCTTGATGAGTGAAACTTGTCTGGGGAGCCAGCTCTGAGCGGTGTGAGACCAATCTACAGGGGTGGCCCATTTGCTTTCTTCCGGCTTTGGTTTTCCTAAAGCCTCCACCTTTGAAGAGATTACACAAGGTGGTTCTAAGGGAGACAATGGTGTGCGTTGTGCCTTTAAGTAGCAGCAAGGAGAGAAGAGAAATTCTTAGGAAGGATTGAGGTCTGAGGGTCCCAAGCAGCATTCCAAGGCAATGGCAGGGTCTTGGAGAGAAGCCACTGACTTCTGAATGCACAACAGCCCAACCTCACCAAGGATGCTTGTGCCCCAAATGCAGCACAGAAACCACAGAGCTGAAGGGACCTTGCTGCAGGCTGGAGTAAGAGGACCACAGTGGGGACCACTGCAGACAGAGGATCAAGGCTAGAGGGTTTTCACAGAAACCAGAGGCCAGATGTAGATGAAGGCCGGATCCCCAGAGATAATGGAAATAAAATTTCTCACCATGCATGACATTTGTTTATCAATTTGCATATTATTTTAAGGGATTTAAAGCCCTTCCCTCTTCCCCCACAAAAGCTATCCACAAATCCCAGGTTAAGGACATATGCTCTACAGAAAATTGTTTCTGTTTGACCTATTCTTTCTCCTCATCTTAATCTCCCTCTTTTCTGTTTCTCAATGAAGTATCATTTATTCAGGGCCTGAAAAGGAATTTTAACAATAACAACAGCTATGATTTTTTTAAAAGCACCTTCCATGTGTCAACACATTTCATACATTAATGCTTATAATTATGTTAGCAAGTAGGTATTATTATCCTACTATTTTTAGATGAGGAAACTGAGACTCCAAAAGGCTGTTATTTTAATAAGATCAAACCCAGATTCAAATTCCAGCTGACTGGCTCTAGGGCGGTGTTTCTCCAACACTGCTGCACATTAGAGTCACCTGGGGACTTGTACGAAGTGCCAGCGCCTGAGTTGTACCCACACCAATGAAATCAAAATCCCTGGGGGTGGTACACCAGTATATTTTTTAACTCCCCAGGTGATTCAAACATGTAGCAAGAGACGCTTTGTTGAGAACTGTTGTCTAAAAGCCTCTGTATCTAACTGTTGTATCATCTGCCTTCAAGACTGATAATGAAGAGAAGTTGACAAACCTTGCATGATTTTGGCAGTGCCAGGAGACGGGCTCTTGTATGTTATATGCTTCATCTGGTCATTTTGTGAATGATGCTCTCACGTACTTATTTATATGCTTTAATACTAATGTGAGTATTAGCTAATGTGAGTATTAAATAACGTGGCAGCGAGAGTGAAGAACTTGGCCGAAAAGCAGTCCTGATGAAGGCTGTGCAAATGCCAGTGAAGGTGGCACTCCTCGGGCCAGGTGAACATGATCCCCTCTGCCAGGTACACTCCATCTGGGCTTGTCACAATCTGGGTCGCACATGCCGAGGGATGAACCAAGGGTGTGCCTTTGTCAAGGCCAGAAAGCCATCCCAATGAGGGCCTGTCCCTCGATGCCTCCTTTGCAGCCACAGGTCAAGAATTGAGAGAGTTAGGCAGTAGGGCATGATGGCTAAAAGCAGGTGATGGGAAGTGCAGCTAGACCCAGGTTCAAATCCTGTCTCTATCACTTACTGTGTGACTTGCAACAAGTTTCCTAGTCTCTTGTTTGACAAAGAAGTTCCCAAGACTAGGAAACTTCTTTTATAGTTTCCTCGTTATAAAATGGAGATAATGGGAAATTGAGAAGAATTCAATGAGATAATGCTTATAAAGCACTTAGTATAGTGCCCAAAGTATCCAGTAATGTTAATGATTACTTTACATATAACAATAGCCACGCACATACCATGTATTAACACTGAGGCTCCAATGCTGTCCGTATCGTCCAAACTGTAACTAGAAGATGTGTAAGAGCAAGAGACTCATGCCTCAGGCTTTAGGATTATGCAAAAACACAGGACAATACTTACAGAGAAGCCAAGCTAGTAGAGTTACGAGTAGGTCAGTGCCATCTAACCGTGATCAGCTTGCAAGGAAGGACAGTTTGAGGTGAGGAAGATTTACAACAGAGGTCCGCGTATCAAGGAGCATTCAAAATCTCAGGCACTTCTCACTCATAACAATAAGTTTTCCCAAGAGAATAGAATGTTAGTACTAGATAGAATCTTAGAGATTGTCTTATACAAAATCCTCAAAGTAAAATTAAGGAAACCAAAGCCCAGAGATCAAGGAGCCAGCCCAATTCTTCCCAGCAGTAAGCGGTAGCCCAGGAGTGGAACTTGGGCTTCTTGAACTCAGGGTCAACGTTCTTTCTGCAACACCACACTGTGCCTTAAAAAGTACGTGAATAACTGATTGGAATGGACAGTGCTAATCATTCTGTTCATTCCAGCTGTTGAATATGTTTAACCTAGGTGCCAAAATACAAAGAACAATCTAATAAGGTATTTAGAAAATTTAGAACTCAGAATTTAGAGGTCAAGTTCCAGACAAGATTACACTCCTAACCAGCTACAGAATCACTTGACTCCTTTGAGATGTTCTATCCTCTAAGACAGAAGGTGGCAAATTTTTTCTGTAAAGGGCCCGACAGTAAATATTTAGGTTTGCAGGACATACCATATGGTCTCTTGTAACTGTTGTAACTACTCAACTCTGCTGTTGTAGCACCAAAGCAGCCATAGACGATATATAAAAGAATTGAAACGGCTATGTGCCAGTAAAACTTTATTTATGGACGCTTGGATGTCATAAAATTTTCACATGTCATTCAATATTATTCTTTTTTAAATTTTTTTTCAACCATTGAAAAACGCAAAAACCATTCTTAGATTGCAGGCTATACAAAAACACGTGGTGGGCCTGATTTGGTCCTTGGGCTACAGTCTGCCAACTTTGCTCTAGGAATAAGCTCAGCAATGTCTGCTCCATTTCATCAACTATGAAATGTTTGATAAGTAAATGTTATAATATTAATTACATAAGGATAGGGAAGCCCTGGTTTGACTGTAGTTTGGGGGGAAAAATGATCTAGAGAGTTTAGTTACATATATATAATGCAAACCAAGAACATAAAGTAGATATTGGAATGAAAGTAGTTCCAGATGGTTTAAAGAGGAAAATAGCATCCAGGTCATAAGAAGAAATTACCCCAATATAATCTGCAACTCATGTGGTTCAGAACATATGTTTATTCTGATAGCCAATTTTAAGGAGACTACTAACAAATTTAGTAGTATACCTTGCAGGGAAGTTAAGATGTTGAGAGGTAAAACTATATTTTACCAAGAACAGTTGCAGGAAGGAAGGGGATGTTTGAAAGATGAGGAAGGATGAGACTTATCCAGAAAGCAAAACTAGAGCCAGTGGGTAGCAGTTGAAAGGAGGTAGATGTCAGCTCAACAGATAAAATAACTTCCTACCAGCTGGAATTGCCAAATAGTGTGGTGAGCCAACACACACAGTGAGCTCTCCATCACTTGGAATACTCAAGTAGAAGCTGGCTGACCACCTGTCGAGGATGTAGTATGGATGTTACCATTGCCCAGGAGAGGAGGTCAGCTAAATGACCTTAAGGAGTTTTTTCGGCTGTAAAATTCTGAGTCTATAAAATAGTTAATGGATACAAAGCACTTTGAAGATTTGGCTGTCCCTAAAATTCTGCACGATCACACGCAGGTGGGCATGTATCCTGTGCAAAGATGGAGAACATCTCCCAATGCTGTTATGCAGAAACTTGAAGTGGAGACACTGGGAGCCTTCAGTGACCCTCTCGTAGCTACAATCCCAGAGCACAGTGAAAAGGTTCTCAGCCTTCCCAGTTCCTATTCAAACTGGCCTCACCACTGGCCCTCCAGGCTCACTTCCCAGGGAGAGAGCTTCAAGAGGCCCGTGCCTGTGGCCCAGGTGGTCCTAGAAGGAGGACAGGCTGCCTCCTCCAGCTCTGGACTCAAGCTCAGCTTGCCCTTGTGTTGGGGCCAAACAAGGGGTTCTGGGAAGGGCGACCAGGGAAGAGATGGGTCACTTACAAAAACAGCTAGTTATTCGAAGGCAGATCATAGGAAGGAAAGGTGGAGGGCAGAAAAGCTCAGAAGGAGAACAATATTCCCCAGGCTTCCTCCCCGACACTCCCAGAATCAAGCCTCTCAACACTGGGTCCCGAGGTGAGAGGAGGATTTCACTCCCTGCCCGGGGTTGCTCAGTGCTGGGAGAGCTACTTTCACGGACATGAACTGACTTTGGGGGTTTAAGTGAAAAGAACTGAGTAGTATCTTACCCTTCTCGTTCATCATCCGTGTTGTAATACACCTGTGGAGCAGAACAATAGGTTTACTGTGGGTCAGAGACAAGAACTGGAAATAAGTCACGTGATGCACAGACTGTCCTAAGGCATCAACTGTCTCTTAAAAAAGACAAAAGACAAGTCTGTTTAATGATGCTGGGTTTGTGTGTGTGTTTCTGAGGAAATGCAAATTTAACCTCCTCTCCTTCTCTGTGGGGTTACTTCTTAGATTTTAATGAAATAAAATTAGAAATTGGTTATTTCTAGCTAAAGTCACTCTGATGAGATTATCTCTGGCCTTAAGCCGAATCTTGCTTTTGACATTAAGGAAACATTTTGGCAGGATCTAAAATCCATTGTTTAGAAAGGCTCTGGCCTGCAGGGTGGCTCTTGGCCTGTGGGTAACCCATCCCATTTTGGTTGACAGGCGAGCTGACTCTGGGTACTGTGCTACCCGGGAGGGAGGGGAGGGGCACGAAGGTCCCACAGCAGGACAAGAGCAACTGCAGGCATCTCTACTTACTTCCCAAAGGGGCCTGGGTTATCCTGGCTTCCCACAACCACAGACATTTAGGGGTCAACTGTCTTCAGGCTGTGAAAGGTCATTTAGCGGTGGGAGGTGTTCCTGGCCAGAAGGCAGATCTCTGAGGGCAGAGGCTTCCTTTAGGCGGTCAGCACGGCGTCAGGCAGAATCAGATTAAAGAAATCATGAAGCATCCTTATTATTTTATGGAGCTATGGGAGAAATCTGGAGGGGATCTGCTCTGCATGTATATCCTCTTGCCCCAAGTATTTCTAAACATTACTTGTGGGCCTCGTGAGCTTTATCTGTGTGCTTCAGGACCATTTGTGTCTGAGTGACGAACAACACTAACATACTAACCTGAGTTACTATGAGACATTACATACTAACTTCAAAAGAAGCCTCTGATTCCAGTGTGTTTAGTCACTGTCCCTGCCCCAGCCTGGGAGAGAAACAGCTGAGCCCAGACAGACAACCTCCCCACAAACTTTCTCAAAGGCTCTTGGCAGCTCCTGGGATGCTGCCAAGCATAGACCTAGTTATATAACAAAACTGGTTACCTGGAACTCTCTGGGAATGAGTCATTCTAGTCAATCAGCTCATATTTCTACGGGAACTATTTTCCTCTTAATTTTTTTTATGGCTGTTGTTATATACATTTATTTCTTCTTAAACCAAAAACAATGACAGAAAGTTGTTTTTTGCTTTTTGGGTTTTTCCCCCCAAGTTTCAGTGTGGAATTCAAAGTATCTTTCATCGGGGCTGTCCACTTAGAAGACATGGAGTGACCCACGTAAGGGAGGGTCTGGGCATGGCACTGGCCATGCATCTGGACTGTCCTGAAAAAGTTCCTGACGTTGGCTTGTGTTTTGCTGGTTTCTTTAAAGGTGGCAGAATGCACCCACCCCCTGCCTGACTCCTTGGTCTCTGTGAAGTTGGTTGGTGACCCAAAGATGGGAGCAGACTTCTCTTAAGCATTTTCTTGCCCTCCTGAATGGCTGCTACTTCACTGTCCCTACCACCTTCCTTTCTTTGTCATTTCTTCTCCTCTCATATAAAGGCCTACTATTTCTTCCTTGTCAGCTGTTGGGAACATTGCACTAACTTAATTTTCAGAGCATGTTTTTCAAACTTTAGAGTGCATAAATATATCTGGAGACATATCATAAATGCAATTCCTAGAACTCACTTCAGAGATTTTATTTGGAAAGACCTGGGATAGAACTTGGGCATCTGAGTCCATATCAAGAACTCCTGTGGTCTGGGGGAAGATTGTTCATGAACGACAATGCAATAGACTGTTCTCTACAATACGAGGGAGGAGAGGTGTCCTCCTTGGGCTCAGGTGCTTTGAGAAGGGCTGACACCTGGCAAGCATATATTATCCAACAAGATGATGCCTCTGCATCTCACGGTTTTTCCCAAGCTCCCCTCATCACATGTCCTTTAAAGGCATTCCTGACACAAGCAGCCTGATCACCAGGGCTTCAATATGAGGAGAGTGGGACTAGAGGTCTCCATAGCTCCTACACATTGGATTATTGCTTCATATTAGTTTCTGATAATTGTCTGAAGACTATTCCAACCCACAGGAGAACCAATGACATAATGGGTGGAGTGGGGGACGTGTGGACTAACAGTGAAAATACCTACTTCCTGGCCGTGTCCCTGGGTGAGTAGGAACTGCTGCCCCATAGCCGATGTGCCTTAAGTATGGCTCAGGGGTGTCTCACTGACCATGAGAACTATAGGGTTGCTGGCCCTGCAGCTGTGCAGAGCTGCAATGCAGCTGATTCTAGCAAGACTCAGGCCCCTGTGCTTTCTGAGCGGCACACCACTGCTTGCCGCTCTCCCCTCTCTCTCCCACCCTCTTAAGGTAAACCAGACCTATCCTTTGACCTGCCACTGCAGGGTCTTGTTTTGAAGGTCAAAGTCGGCCAATCCCTGCCCCATCCCTACTTTTAAGACCATGGAACTGCCTCTTCTCTCCTGCCTCTGGAAGGCTCTCCCAGGCGTCTAGCTCTTCTGAGAAAAGGCAGCCTTAAAATCCCCAGCCAGACAATGCCCAAGCTCCTTTCCTTTAGCTAAGCTGACTCCCATGGCCAAATGCAGATGTGTTACCTAACCAGTATATAATGTTTTTAACTTTGTTTGTTTTGTTTTTAAAGAGACAGGGTCTGGATCTGTCACCCAGGTTGGAGTACAGTGGTGTGATCACAGTTCACTGTAGCCTCCAACTCCTGGGCTCAAGTGATCCTCCTGGTTCAGCCTTCTGAATACCTAGGACTACAGGCAAGCACCACCACACCCAGCTATTTTTAATTATTTTTTGTAGAGACAAGTCTCACTATGATACCCAGGCTAGTCTCAAACTCCTGGCCATAAGCAATCCTCTTGCCTCAGCCTCCCAAAGTACCTAACCAGTATAAGAAAAACAATGTCTATGTCTGAAACCAGGGTTGGGGAGGTGTCCCAGCAGCCCTCTTAAAAGATGGTTGCTTCATAAGCTCGGGATTCCTCACTGTGATACACACTCACTACATGCAAAGCGTCTGCCAGGCCCTTTTGCGTCAGTCCTCTTGGACTCGAAGTGCAAGGGGAACTGATGCGAACGTCAAGTTTCTGCTGCTTGCTGTGTTATCGGTAATAAAGTCCTTTGGCTCCGACCCAGGAGTCTCATGTCTTCTTCCAGCATCCATGAAATTGGAACAGGCTAAACTGTTAGCTTATAAACAGGTAAAACCTTGGACCTTTCACAATTCTTGACAGTAACATGGTATAATTGAGAACAACGACATAATATCAAAGGGCAGCAATCCTTTGATATTATTTTGATCAACCACAGCATATTCACCAGTTGTTCTAGGGCAGAGCTGAGTGTTCCTTTGTTGCCAGGAGCTCAGGGCAGGCTTCCCCACCGACCCCCTCTACTCTGAATCCAAGGCCACAGAGGCAGCCTGAGGGCTCTGTGAGGGTGGCCTCCAGATAGCAGGATAAACTTCACTGGTGGGCCAGGGGGACAGTGATTGTGCTGCTTTGCAACTGCTGAACCCAACAAACTGTAAAGGCTGCGCTTTCCTTCTGAATCCGCCTCAGGCTGCGAGCCAGGCTCGTGACATCCAGCGGGCAAGAGAGGCCAGAGGACAGGCGGTCACGAGCGGCCGGGTTGGCCACTTTTCCTCTTAAGATTCATTTACAGCTTTATATGTTCTGGAGAAATCTTGCCAAGCGAACAAGTCAGGTTGTCAGTGTTGACACAGAACTGAAGCCAGAATCCTGACGGTAAACTAAACAGTAAGAACAATTTAACTCAATTATCCCCTCTTCTGGAAGGTGTGGAAACCTAGCTCCCCACACAAATCACCACCATGTTTTTGGGAACTAAAAAAAAAAAAAAAATTAGGTGCTGGCACACCTATCTTGATAAATTATAAATCTCTTCCTTTCCCCTGTGTGTCCCTGGTTATATAAAACAAGTTTAATACAAGATAGAAATGCTAAATTAATTTTCAGTGAAAATGTGTTCTGAGAAAAAGCTACAGATACTTTATTACCATGTTGTGTCGTGAATAGCAACGAAAAAGCCCTGGTTGTATAACTGCTTTGTCTCCTACATATAATGAAACATCACACTGAATGCTGGGGGACAAAATGTCCTCCAGAGAGAGAGAGTGAAGTCGATATTGATTTCTCTTTCTAGGCTGAGGTCAATTCCAATGAGTATCTGCATACCTAGAATGTAAGAAACACTTGAAGGTGTCAGATACCCCTATTTCTCAAAACAGATGTTTCCTCAAAGGACTTTGGGTTTAAAAGAAAATGAATCAATGCAAAATTCATTAAAACCTGACTGGTTTGGTGGAAGACAATTCTGGCTAATGCTAGGGAAATAATTATTTTTTTCTTTTTTTCACACATTTCAATTTATCACATTAAATAAATAATACTAAGACAAAAGGAAAATAATCAGCCATATCTCATTTTTCTTGTTCCCTTCAAATTCAGTTAAATCTTTGGGATCACAGTATAAACACAGATTGCTATCGTACTTTTTTTTTTCCATTGAACATTAGTATAACAAGTTCCCATGTTGCTACATAGTTTTCATAGTTAAAATTTTAGTGAATGCATAATATTCCATCAACTTGAGCTACCATAATGTTAATTATTGGATATTTATGTTAATTTAATATTAGATTTTTCAGTTCACTTGTAGATACATCTAGAAGATAGGAATTATTTTTTTAAGGGGGTTTGTCTACAATCCCATTTTTCTTTTTATGTGAAATAATTTACCATTCAATGGGAACTGTTCATTTACTAAGGGAAAAATTGTTGACAGAACTTTATTTAATCTAAGAATTTTTCACCTTGTACAACTTTATGAAGTTATAGGTGCAGCTCAACTTCCCACCATTAGGTGGAGCTCTATTGCATCAGGATAATTCTGCCATGACAAAGCTAACAAAACTTTTCTTACAGTTTATCAGCCTTCTTACTTTCTCCCTCTTTCATTGCTTTGTCAATACTTTACTAATATCAACTCACTCTCTTTTTCCCCTTAGTAAGTCACTTTCCTCTTCTGAAATATTCCTTTCTATAAAAATCCATTTACTGTAAGGAATGACTGACTGTTCTTCTGGTGAATGGAAGGTGGGTTTTATTTTTAAGGTCAACACTGCCTGAAGTGCTTCTATCTGACCACCCTACCAAGCCCGTAAATGGATGGCAAGTGGATGTTAGCAGGTAGGTCATACCTGTCCAGTCCTCTGCAGGTTTGCAAAGTGAACGTCAGGTATGAAGAGAACAGGCTGCGAGTGCAGATCGGGCATGGTTTTGAAGTAGGTGATGTCACTCTTCTTCTGTAAGGGTAGGGCAGCCAACTTCCCATCAGAGGCTGGATGGAATCACAAAACCCATAAGCAAGAGGGTCATACATGACTAACAACCCTCAACTATAAGTCCTAGTGTCAACTAAAATTCGTGTTTTTCTTCTATGAAGCTTTCCCAATACCATAGATGTGAACACATTTTAACACCTCCCCACTCCAGCCAAGCCAACAGAAAGAGCATGGACTTCAAGTGAGCATCCTTGAGTAGAGCTTAGGTCCCCTCATACCCTCCTGTCCCTCTGTGCACCCAAGATACCTTGTCTGTAGGAGGAGGATGTTGGGCTCCATAATATCACAAAGTCCTTCCTAGCTCAAACACACCGTGCACATGATTCTATTTGCTTTTCATGGGGATAATCACCCTGTCTCCACTGCCAGGGGAAAGCAAGCCATGCCTTGCACATACAGTTTTACCTGCAACCCACTTCTTTCTACCTGCTCCCCCAGTGGACCCAGCCCACCTGAGTCTTCCCCTCAGAAAGTAAAGTCAGTCTCGGTGAAACTCACAGTTGTTGCATTGGGTTTGGGAGGCCTGGCCTTTCCCTTTCTTCCTGTTCTGTTTCCTCTCTTCATCTCTGATTTTTCTCTCTGCTCCCTGCCAGAGAAAAAGCAAATACAGACAGTGCCAGGCATGTTATCAAGGCATGCAAAAATACTGTCACACACAAAAGTCATGTGGGTATGAAATAGTACACAGGAAAAGGAGACCAGGCAGCCCCATTTTCATCCCTCCAGCAAGGTGAAGCTTCAGCTCTGAAAGCCAAGACTACTCATGAAACTACACCACATTTCTGACCTGCGAGAGATCCCACCTCTCCCATGTTTTCTCCTTTTTTGCTATCTTGCCTATTTAAAGAACTTCAGTTTTGAATCCATATGGAAAGAACGGGCCCAGTCTCCTAACCCAGTGAAGCCTATTAAGTAACTTTACTGATTATAATAAAATATCAGAAGATGAAGCATTGACCCATTAAATTTATTCCTAGGCATGAAGAGGGCTTTAAAGTTGAATGTGAATTCTCTGTAAAATTTTCCCTTCGTTTGTTGTTATGGAACTTTAAAAAATCATTTTACAGTGGTGGAAATAAGGGAGTCACAAGGAAACCACACAAGATGTAGGATTGCTTTGTGCAAACAAGTATGATTTTTGTTTTGGTTTCAGTATTTTTGTATGTTCTTAGAGATATTACTCATTCAAAAGTTTAGTCAATTCAACTCCTTTTTGCTCCTCTGTTCCTTGTAATTTGACTTTTTTATTGGTTCCTCTTGCCAAATTGTCAAATTCTGTTGTACTGAACCAATTGACCACCATCTTGTAGCTCTTTTATTTGTGACCTCCAATGATTCCCTAATTGTATTAATATTTTTCTTTGAGCATTCTTCTATGTCAGCTTTGCGAACTCATTTTCCTCTTCTCATCTTCCAAATAAAGACATCCCAACACAGTTTCCTTTTCCTTTCTCTCTCTCCATTCTTGCTGCAAGAGAATCCATCTGTACCCATGTTTTCACAACGCACTAGACAGGTGACATTCAGATAGATACCCCCAACCTAAACTCTTGCCCACTGCAGTAGCAGATTTAAGGAGCAGTGAAGCACAGACTGGCCAGCAACCTCCGACCCTTTAGAAATGGCCCCCAAATCATCATATACACCAGAGATAGATTCAATAATATTATAATTTAATCCTTCTCTATACAAAAACAAAAGAATCAATTAAAAGGCAAAGGACAAACTACTGAAAATATGTGGAATAAAATATCACATAAAATGTTAAATCTTTAACATTTCAATAATGATTTAAATTAAAAACCTGACATACTAATAGAAAAATGAACAAGGGTCATGGAATAGGCAATTCACAGAAAAAGATACAGAATATGGTTTGAATTATAACAATAAGATGTATTTTTGCCTTATCAAATTAGCTTTTTTGAAACAGCAGATTCCCAATCGTGGCTATGTGAGGGTTTGTGGTCAATGAAGGTGTTATACAGGAGATGGCTTTTAAGCTAATTCTGGAAGAATGAGTAATAATAGCTCATACTTACATGGCACTTACTCTGTGCCAGGTGATTTCTAAGAGCTTTACACATTAGAATGTGATAGTTGTAATATTTTAACCAGATAATTTAAATATACATTTCTATATCAAAAAACTTCCAAAGGAAATAATTATTTTACTTACTAGTAATACCAAAGGGAGTAATTATATTATAGTATTTCACTTGAGGTTTTGAATTATCATCGACACTTATAGATCATGGAAATAGGGAGATAAAATACAAAAATATCTGCTTTGGAAGTCTCTTCAAGATATATTAAGGATTTGTATAGTTTTTGTGTCTAGAAAACACATAAAGTGTTAAATGCACAGACATCACCTTGTTCAAATAGATGGGAAATATAAGAAAAGGCTCTTCAAAATACTGAAGTTTGTATAATGACAGGAACTATATTTTTTATTGGATACTTATGTATAAGGCATTTTTCTATGTGTTTGGAGTTCTGTACAAGATAACATTTAATATAAATAAAATTTGGATATTTATTATCTACCTATATAAATTACAACTGAGCCAAGACACACCCCAAGTTTGCTCAAGCAATTTTATTTCTGAGTTAATGTTTTATTTTGTACTATTCCTATGAGGAAAAGGACTAGAATTAATTTCTTTTGAGATTTACACACAGGCATAGCTCAGGGACATTGTGGGCTTGGTTCCAGACCACCACAATAAAGTGACTATAGCAATGAAGAGAGTCACACAATTTTTTTGGTTTCCCAGTGCATATACTATACTATATATTTATACTATACTGCAGTATATTAAGTATGCAATAGCATTATGTCTAAAAAGTAGACATACTTTTCTCATACTTTAATGAGAAAATAGTTTAATGCTAAAAACGCTAACAATCATCTGAGCCTTCAGCAAGTCCCAATCTTTGTGATGGTAGGGGTCTTGCCTCAGTGTTGATGTCCTCTGACTAATCAGGGTGGTGGCTGCTGAAGGTTGGGGTGGCTGTGGCAATTTCTTAAATAAGACAACAATGAAGTTTTCTGCATCAATTGACTCTTCCTTTCATGAAAGATTTCTCTGTAGCTTGCAGTGCTATTTGGTCGCATTTTACCCACAGTGAAACTTCTTTCAAAAGTGGAGTCAATCCTTTCAAGCCCTGCCGCTACTTCATCAACTAAGTTTATGTTATATTCCAAATCCCTTGTGTCATTTCAACAATGTTCACAGCATCTTCTCCAGAAGTAGATTCTATCTCCGGAAACTAGTTTCTTTGCCCACCTATAAGAAGTAACTCATCCGTTCAAGTTTGATCATGAGATTGCAGCAATTCACTCATATCTTCAGGCTCCACTTCTAATTCTAGTTCTTTTGCTATTTCCACCATATCTGCCAGGTACTTCCTCCGATGACATCTTGAACCCCTCAAACTCATCCAAGAGGGTTGGAATCAACGTCTTCCAAACTATCGTTAGTGTTGATATTATGACCTCCTTTCATGACTCACAAATGTTCTTAATGGCAACTAGTGAATCCTTTCCAGAAAGTTTTCAATTTACTTTGCCCAGATCCATCAGAGGAATCACTATCTATGGCAGCTATAGCCTTATAAAATGTACTTCTTAAATAATAAGATTTGAAAGTCAAAATTACTCCTTGATCTATGGCCTACAGAATAGATGTTGTGTTAGCTGGCATGAAAACAACATTAATCTCCTTGTACATCTCCAGCAGAGCTCTTGGGTGACTGGGTGCATTGTCAACAAGCAGTAATATTTTTAAAAGAATCTTTTTTTCTGAACAATAAGTCTCAACAGTGGGCTTAAAATATTCCATAAACTATGTTCCAAACAGATGTGATGTCACCTAGGCTTAGTTGTTCCATTTATAGAGCACAGGCAGAGTAGACATAGCATAATTCTTGGGCCCTTGGACTTTAGGAATGGTAAATGAGCACCGGCTTCAACTTAAAGTCACCAGCTACCTTAGCCCCTAACAAGAGAGTCAGCCTGTGCTTTGAAGCCTTGAAGCCAGGCATTCTCTTATCTTCCCTAGCAATTAAAGTCCTAAATGGCATCTTCCAATATAAGATTGTTCATATACATTAAAAATCTGTTGTTTAGTACCATGTTAGAGGGGGTCATGAAGTGAATTTAAAAATAATTTTAAAAATTAAAAAAAAATCTGTTGTTTAGTGCAGCCACCTTCATCAGTTATCTTAGCTAGACCTTCTGGATAACTTGTAGCAGCTTCTCCATCAGCAATTGCTGCTTCACCTTACACTTTTATGATATGGAGATAGATTCTTTCCTTAAACCTCATGAACCAACCTCTGCAGCCTTCAAGCTCTTCTGCAACCTCCTCACCTCTCTCAGCCTTCATAGAATTGAAGAGAGTTAGCGCCTTGCTCTGGATTAGTCTTTGGCTTAAGAGAATGTTGTGGAGAGTCTGATCTTCTATCTAGACCTCTAAACCTTTCTCCATATCAGCAATAAGGCTGACTTTATCATTCATGTGTTCATCAGAGTAGCACATTTAATTTCCTTCAAGAATTTTTTCTTTGCATTCACAACTTGGCTATTCGGTGAAAGAGGCCTAGCTTTTGGCCAATCTTAGGTTTAACATGCCTTCCTCACTAAGCTTAATTCTTTCTAGCTTTTGATTTAAAGTGAAAGACATACAACTCTTCCTTTCACTTCAACACTTAGAGGTCATTGTAGGGTTATTAATTGGCCCAATTTCAATTTTGTTGTTTCTCAGAGAACAGGGGGAGGCCTGAGAAGGAGATAGTGAGAGATAGGGGAAGGGCCAGTTAGTGCAACAGTTAGTACACACACAACATTTATCACTTAAGTTCTGTCTTATAGGAGCATGGTTGCTGAGTCCCCAAAACAACTACAATAGTAACATCAAAGATTACTGATCACAGATCACCATAACAGATACAATAATAATGAAAAAGCTTGAAATATTGTGATAATTATCAAATTGTGACACACAGACATGAAGTGAGCACATGCTGTTGGGAAAAATGGCACCAATAGACTTGCTAGACACCAGGTTGCCACAAACCTTCAGTTTATAAAAAACACATTATCTGCAAAATGCAATAAAGCAAAGTGCAATAAAATGAGTATGTCTGTATGTCCAACGTAGATTGTTAGGAAAGTCACTTGCTTATTTTTCAGGCATTCTTTGATATGACAAATGTAAAGGATTAGCATAAAACAGAATAGGTCTCTATAATGCATAATGTTGGTGCCACTTCTGTATAAGTTTCCTGCCCAAAATGCCCAGGTATCAGCATGACAAAACAATTCTAACATCACCCACTCTTGAAAGAACCATAGTTCTTCTTTCTAAAATAAAGCTTTGGGCTTCACAATGATCCAGGGAAGCTTTGATACATTCAATTAAGGTGGATAAAGCTTTCCTTGAACAAGACCTTCCAAAAATTTCTTTCCTCTTTCCTATGATTATTTGTGACCTGAAGCTTCTAGAAAATATCCTTTCTATTCTTATTAAAGTGCAAAAAAGTCTAGTGGTTCCAAAAGAGTATAATTTTCTACAAATACCAAATTTATCTTTTGAAAATAATTTCCCCCACTTAAATGTTCACTACAGAGTGTTGAATTTGGAAAACTTATCTGAAGAGTTCTTAACTATATTGTGATCACTTTTGCCACCACTTGAGAGGTGATGTCTATCTTCATTTTTTATTTCACGCTTAAAGAGTTTCTCTAAAATATATTTTTTAAAAGTGGCTCTATTTCTCAATTTTTCTGCAATATATAGCTATTGTTTGCAATAATACAAAATCTTCATGGAAGATTATGGAACTAATTAAATACAGATGCAAAGATATACACATAGGTATCTATATAGGTAGATATATAAATAGACTCTGAATTTTTAATGCATAAACATATTCATTTCAGTAGAAGTATCATAATACCAAAAAAGTTAGAGAAGGCCTTTATTTTCATCTGCAATCAATCTCACAGGTGTATTAATTAGAAATCAAGCTGGACAGCTATAAATAGTGCGGAATTCCATCTGTTTAAAACTCTAGACTGTGATTAGGAAATTCACAACTTTAAAATGGAATAGCTCTCAACTCTTTTGCTTTAAAAGATAAGTTAAATTAAGCATTTGCATTTACATACCCACTTGAAAAGTACAAAAATTAAACTTTTATTTATCTTTTTAGTCTCCCAGGGGCGAGTTTTGCCTGGGTTTTAAAATTAGAGCTGCAAACATGATGACAAATTAGAGCAAAAGATTTTGTATCTAGCTTATTAGAGAAACTGACAGTAACAACAGTTAATCCACCCTGCATAGACCCTGAGATTTCCTCCTTATGAGTTTCCTGATACCCCACCCCCCAGCCCTAACATCAGGATATGTAACTAACTACCCAATAAGAACTCTTTACAATACTAGCTATTAATACTTGGAATAAATGCCAATCACTTACCCCACATTCTCCAACCATTTTTTTCTACCTAGCACTGATATTTAAAATAGGGGTTATTGGAAATGCCACCTATTTTCTGAGTGGCAAAATGTTTGTTAACAGGATTCTTTCCAGTGTTTATACATATTTGCAAACATGCTCACACAAGTGGTTCTCCCAACCATTTCTTTCCTTGCTGCAGATGGTCTCCTTAGCACAACTTCAGGAAACAAATCTTTAGAGAAACTCATACAATTCCCTTAATTTCTCATAGTCTCTCTTATTCTAGGACATAAGTGAATAACAATATAACTCTCCATGCATTCTGCATGTTTCTATTATCTTCTTTTTTTGGTATTTATTACATCAACACTATAATACAAAATAACTGTATGAGCAATTTAAGCCCTCTCTCCCACTTTCAATTCCAACTACCAAGGTGAAGATGAATGGATTGCCTGGTCCCTCCATCCCATTCTTCCCTCCCTTTCTTCTCCCTTTTAACTTTATTCCTTACTTCCGAGGAGGGGATTCATGGAGGGAGAGTCTACAATCTCCCTTGGAATATCTGGAATAAAGTAAAGGAATTCAAATCACTTAAAAGCTTTATTACTTGTACTTTAAAAAATTCCACGTTGTACAACATTTGAAAATGTTTCCTTAATGTTTAATATGCTAAATTAAAGACATAAACTGATTTTTTTGGTTGTTTTGTTTTTAAAGGCTACTTTGGCTCTTTGTCGAGGTTTTGAATCACCAGTTGCCATTTTGGTATTTTATGTATAAAGTTACTTTTCAATTCAAGGAGTATGAATTTGGGATTGGAACTGTATTTGCACCCAGGCTCCACTACATTTTCACTGTGTGACTCTGGGCAAGAGTCTGCCCCACCGTTTTCTCATTGTTTCTATATGACTACTGTGTATGGTGACTTACCAGGCATCTATATCATGGAAACTGCCTGACTGTCCCTCAGATTGCTGTGCTGCTCAGATGGCTGGATGATTGGCACCCACAGAAATCGTCATGGCCGGGGAAGACTATTGAGATTTTAGGGATATTTTCTGCTGTGCTGCATGTGCCAAACCCCTGTGCAGTTCTAGTTAATGCATTTTCCTTCTGTCCTCTGATGACCATCTCTGCTTTCTGCTGTTCTCTGCTCACAGGAGCCTATGTCTCTGTCTACTCTGTTACTGCTAAGCCAAAACTCTCAGACATTTTATAGCACAGTAGACCTTTAATACTGACTGCAGCACCTTTAAGAGTAATGGGCAAAAGTGAATTAGCTACTAACTTCTTTTTCCCCCTCTTCCTCTCTCCCCAGGATCTAATATGAAGTAGTATCCTTTCACTAACAGTTAATACCTATAAACAGTTAGTCAGCTTCTTCTTCTTCTTCTTCTTCTTCTTCTTCTTCTTCTTTTTTGGATATATACCCTCCTCATCCTCCCCAATTTTTAAATAAGTGCATGGTGCCTACACTGTCGGGACATATCGCCATCCTGTCTCTCCCATCATTTGGGACTAGATATATACTGAATGCTCACCCTCGGTCTGTTTATCAAGTCTTTATAGTTGTATTGCTTGTCAAAAATTGGTTCTCCACTAGAGTTCCCAAGAAGAAATATTCCCTGGATTTTGTTTGTTTTGTTTCCCCATGGTTTTGTTTGTGCCTTGACAGTCAAGTTGGCTGCATAGAAAATCCATGGCTCACATTTTCTTTACGTGATTACCTTAAATATAATTGTTTTATGACAAAGTGTTGTTGTTGAAAAGTTGGATGGCAAAAGTTCCCTTGTAAGTGATTTAATGTTTATTTTGTTTACTTTACTTAGATGCCCAAAGAATATTTTTTTCTTTTTTCAAATAAATCCAATAGCTTAACTATTTGGTATTGGTTATCCTGGATCAGTGTTCCCGAGTATAAAGCAGGGTGTTTAAATATGAACGCTTTCCATTTCTGGTTTTCCTGATTTATCATTTCTAGTATTTGTTCTGTTCCATCTTTTTTAAATTATTATTATTTTGCTCAAAGATTCCTATTATGTGTATATTGGACCTTCTTTATCTCTCTTTTCTCTCTGTATTTTCTTTCACACCTCTTTTTTCATTTCCTCTGATTTTTACATTTTTGCTCTTTTCCAACTTGTATTTTCTTAAGGCATTATCTTTTATATTTATTCACTCTTGTATTGCTTCTAGTATAGGTTTTATTCTGATTTATTTGAATGTTTTATTTCTAAATTCTTTCCTGAGTTTCATCACATCCCTTTTGAAATCATTCTATTTTCCAAACATCTCACATCTGATTTTTTTCGAATTGTGATCTAGCTTGATCATCGTAACTTCTATTATTCCTTTAAATCCATTTAGTTCATTTTGAAATATGAGGCTATAGTTGTCACCTGATTTGTGGGCATGTCTTTCTGGTATGCATTCCTTGTCCATAGGGAAGTCAGTCTGATCCTAGTCTCTACTTTCATGAAACACTGTGTGGAATTCAACTGTTTTTTCTTTTCTGATGGTCATTTCTACATGAAACAAGTGAGCCTGGATAGTTCTTCTAGCTTCACGGCTCTCATGCTCCCTCGTCTGGTGTGTTCACAAAGAGATACAAACATGTCTTGTATTTTCTGAGATCTCTCTACCCTGTGTCCCTTCCAATCTTCTTCTTCACTCTTATTTTGACCTTCTTTTTCCTTTTTATCTTTTTTCCCCAACTCAACTTGGATTTTACTCCCAGCAGGGCTTTTTTTCCTCCAAGAGCAGGGTTTTGTCCTAGAAGGGAGCTTCAGTTTATAACTTTTCATAATTCATAGAGCCCTAAACATTTCAATTCACAGTCTGCTTGCACTCACCAGTAAATTGGAGCCCACAGAACCTGTACCCTCCCGCCCAATCTCAAATGGCTCACCTCACTCTCCAGTGTGTTCCTTGGGCAATTCTGTAGGTTTCCAGCTCTCTGGTCATCAAGTGGCCCCATTATTTTCCCTCACAGATGCTGATAGCACACAGGTCTTGATATTGTTGATTCTTAGTCCCACTCATGTTTGCGACTTGTGAGTATCTCTTGTCATGGAATGTTAAGCTCTGCTATTCTATTATCTGTCTCTTTTATGGTGGGGTTCAGGGAGACTCAAAGTACATGTTTTCTGAGTGCATGTGTACTAATGAACTTATTTTATGAGTACTATTTCCATTTCAAAAAGTTCTAGATGAGGCTCCATTAAACCCATAAAATAATTAAGGTGCATTGATACATTCTAGGATAGCATCTATACCCAGTAAAGATTGTTAATCTGCTATTTCAGTTATCTAATTGAATCAGACTTAAGCACAGTATATTATGGACTGAATGTTTGTGCCCTCCCCCATTCATATGTTGAAGCCCTAACCCTCAATGTAATAGCACCTGGAGGTGAGATTTTTGGAGAGGTAATTAGGTTTAGATGAGGTCATGAGCATAGGATCTTTATGATAGAGTTAGTGCCCTTAGAAGAAGAAACACCAGAGAGCTTTTTTGTTCTCTCTCTCTCTCTTTCTCTGCTGTGTGAGGATACAGTGAGTCTGCATGCCAGAAGGAGAGGCCTCACCAGAAACCAAGCTGGCTGGCACCTTGATCTTGGACTTCCCAGCCTCTAGAACTGTGAAGAATAAATTTCTGTTGTTTAAGTCACCCAGTCTGTAGTATTTTGTTATAGCAGCTTGATCTGATCAAGACACCGTGCAATGTCAATTGGTCATTAACTAAGCAGTAAAAATGATTAACTAAAAAAAAAAATACAGTTGACTGATGACTCCCTAGATATCTAACAGGAAGAGAGTAAAAGATTACCACACCTACTGTGATTGATTAAGTGATTATTTTGACACAACTAGACAAGGGAAGGTGCAAGAGGGAAATGCCATCAAAAGTAATATCTAATAGCAAAAATACCTTTATGACACACTGTCATCTTTACTCACTTTGTCGCAGAAGACCTTGATCTGGCAATAAGCTCTATGAATGGGTTTATTGCTACGATTGTTATAACTGTATGTATCAATCTGAATCATCAAGGGAAGTCCTTTCACCCCTTTTTGGGAGGAGAAATCTGTACTCAGGCAATTCACGGTGATGAAAATCTGAGGAAGAGAGAAAGAAAGGAGAAAGTCCACAAGTCACCATAAAAAGAATCTACAATAAATGCATGAACTTTAGACTTGAAGTCAAAATACTAAACAATCCTATAATGGTAAATGAAAAATATTTTGTTATTTTTTCACATAAAAACATGTTGCACACATAAAACATATATAATTTATAATTATAAATTTATTTTAAAAATTTGCTTTCATATTTGATCATGAAACAGACTATTTAAATTACTTCCCTGAAAATATATCAGGAAAGTCTTATTTATTTTTTAAATATGCATAAATGTGTCCTCAACATATTAAAGTTGTCACTTCTAATAGTTATATAAGGTTATCTAATCTCTGACCTGTGGGATAAAAAAATAATTAGATAACACCTTCCTTTGCACATTATTGCATCGAAACCTAGATTTGTTTACACATCTGTCTTTCTTACTTGACTATGAAGTATGAGATTTGAAATCATTTCTTATTTTTGTATCATTGGTACCTATTATAGTGCGTGGTGGAGAATCAGCATTTGATAAACATTTCATGAATAAATCAATGAGTTTTTTCTACAGAGACCCCACTAGATTAGGAGTCAAATGCCCTGACTTTTAGTCCAAGCTTTAATATTAACCAGCTAAGAGACTTTACACAAGTCACTTAATGTCTTCGGTTTTCAATTTCCCCTTTAAAACAACCTTTAAAAACCCCTCCCTGCAGGACAGAGTGTAACTACTCATATACTCCCATGACAGGAAAAAAGCAAAAGAGAAACTGGCAAAGGTGAGATCTGAACAGGAGGGAGAAAGTGTGGTAAAGGCACCGACCCCCTTGGCCTGCAGCAGAAATCCCAGAATCCAGAAGAAAGGGAAATGCAAGGAAATCATTGAAGATTGCAGCACTGGCTGACAGAATAACTGAAAAGAATGTTATTATCAAATATTGGCAGGAAAAGAGGGAGGAGTATAAGTGAGCTAAATTTATCATCATTTTACATAGTAGGTGGCAGTCTGATCAACGGCATATAAGGGCGATTTATATCATGGAATTGAGGTACAAGTACAGCACCCAGATTATAAGGGGAGAACCAGGCATACTACATTATATTCTTAGTACTATCTTCATTTGATACCACATGTATAACTTTTACTTAAATTGTTAAATCACTCTTTGCTTTAAAATCATACAATTATGTGTTCCGAAAACCGTTTCGTCTTACATATTATTTAACCCTCATCTTATTTAGTCCCCTGAGCTTTTCATTCATCCTCAAGCCTCTCGCCCCAGAGCGACACCACAGAGAGCAATCCTGCAGCCACGAAGCCACGAAGCCATAGGCACAGACCGCATTTTAAAGGCCTTTCAAATTTTTGACTTAACTACCAAAAATTTGGCTGATGTAATCTATTTAACCCTGTGCCTGTAGGCTTTTGGTAATTTATACAACTGGCATAGTACTCATTTGTGGTGCTACACCTCTGCAAATCTCGTTTTTTACTTTATTTTTGAGCTCCCCGGTAAGACACCACATCAAGAGTGGTCAGGACCAAATGACAGGTCTTAGTGACTTGCTAATGACCACAGCCTGTGCCCTGTGCCACAGGCTCTCACACTTCCAGCCACCGTGTGAAAACAAGTACCTAACAATGATCTAACTACACAAACAAACCTAGAGATCCAAGGCGCAAGATGAGGACTATAGGTAATAAAACCGTATTGTATTATCATATGTGGGATTCATGCTGAATGAGTAGCTTTTAGCTGCTCTTGCCACAAAAAAAAAACAAAAAACTTGGGTAACCGTGAGAAGATGGATACATGAGTTTGCTTCACTGTAGTATCTATATATACCCCATAAGATCACGTTTACCTTAAATATATACAATTAAAAGGTTTTTTTTTTTAAAAAAAGATGTTCTAACTGCAGATACATTCATTTTCTTTATTCATTTCTTTAATTAATTTGTTCACTCATTCAGTCTGTAAACATCCACACAAGCCCACGGTGGGTCAAACACACTCCTAGGTCCCTGGGATAGAGAAGAAAGCCAGACCCCTGCCCCATGGGCCAGACAGTCCAAGGGGAAGACAGATGAATAATCCAGCAATGACCAACACAGAGTGGTCAAGGTTGTCCAAAAGACAGGTACGTGTGTATAGAAGCCCCAAGACGGAACAGAGCCTGGAGTATATAGTGACATACAAACCCACATAGACGCTGGGCTCAAAGTGGGACCCTCACAAATCCTGAGGAATGATAAAGAAACAGAGAACAATGAAAGATGCAAATGTCAGGTGATTCAGAGGAACTGAGCAAGAATATACCGTGCTGATTCTCCAACTGAACTTCTAAGGCAAAAGTATTTGGCCCATGACAGTCACATAGACAGAAAGTGCTATCTATTGTTCCTGGAGATGCCCTAATGGCAGAGAATTCTTACTTAATGTTCATTAATGCAGCGGATATTTCTGAAGTGCTACCAAGCCCCTGACTAGCAAGGCACTAGCACAGATGCACGGGTTGTGGCTCCTGCAACCACAGAAGTCAGAGGCGAGATGGGAGAGAGACAATATGGTGCTGCTCTTAAGGAATCTTTAGATTAAAAAAAAAAGAGTACACCTTCTAGGAACACTTGATTTTTTTATTGTTGTTGGTATTACTGACAATTGGCTTATCTTAGCCAGAACGTATAAACACAGCTTTATGTCAGCAAATCAAATGATCACTCTGGTGAGCTATGCAGTTGTTCATAATTTTGGCCTTGTGTTTCGTGCAGAGATCTTCCTGTGGGTGGCTACAGTCTATAGGGGCCTCAACACAGAATGGTTTTTTCCACTCCCTCATAAAGCCTGCCTAGTACTACAGAAGCCAGAAGAGAAAAGTGTTCCGATGAACATTTCCTAAGCTATTAAGATTCGTGGTTGGCTCACTAATTTAACCCCACAGCTCTCACAGTGGACACACACTCAGACAGGCAGGAAGCAATAATAATTTTGGCCTTATCAGCTCCGATCTCAACTAAGAGCTAGAGTGATGGGCTGTGAATATTTACAAGGACACTTAAGTAGGACAGATCCACTAGATTCACTGAAATAATAAATGTTTACTGGCAATATACTACAATAAATAGACTAAATCCTCCTTGGAGGAGCTATAAAAACTAGCCATCCAGTAGAGATGGTCTTTAAAGGTCAAATGAGTTACCCTATACAGGACTCTACTGGGAGACATTTAGATAAGGTTCTCTTAATAGAGAAAGGTCCTTAGTAGAAGATCCACTGGGCTCTCTTTGATTCAAGGCATCCTGATTCCATAAAAAGTAAAGAACCCAAAAATCTGCCTTCTCTGCTACATTGTGTTGGCAGCTCTCAGTGCTATCCTAACAGGCAGGGATTTTATAATAGGGTTGGCACTCTTTTCCCCTTGCCTGGCTGCCTGACCCAGTAGCAAAGCGCAGTTTCTTTGTCCAGTGGTATCAGTCACAGTCTCACTGTGCTGCACTCGAAACCCGAATGGTTGAACTTTAACTCAGGTTGGTGGTGGCGGCAGGGGGTGTTGGGAAGTCATAGAAGGACATTAACTAAAACTTTGGCATTCATTTGTTTCATCTTGCAAACCCAACCATGTCCCAATTCCATGCACAGCAGGCAAGTGTGAGAGCAAATTCCTTGGAAGTATATCTGCAGAGCACCTGTTTGTAAATATGTATGAGAGAGGCTTAAGGAAAAGGTATGATTTCCCCCACCAAATGTTCATCCAAATGTCAAGAACAGAAAGTTCATTTTCACTTCATTAGGAGCCCTGATTATGTAACGAATGTGTAAATGCAGTAAACAATTGATCTGTCATCCAAGAGTTATGAATGTTACATATGTTCATATAATATTTTCAAAACCTCAGTTACTTGTTTTCTTATAATTCTAATAGTACAGAATTTATTATTTAGAAAAAATTCATTAAATCGGGTGTATTCAGGCAGATAATAGATACAATTTTAACTTTGTCATTGTTTCAAAGATTGATTCAGATAGAAAGATTGTTTCTAAATGTACCAAAACCTTTCCGAGAAATAGGGGCAGTCTCATGATGCTCCACATTTTTTAATAAAAATCATTTGTTACATGTGAATGACATTTCCCATTTTGTGGTTCCTACACAAGACAAGTGACTGCCAAGATTATAATACCCCTCACTTGTGCATTATGCATGTAGTAAAACTTATTAAAATAAATGCAAATCAATCAATGAGCTTTAGAATTGCTACATTAACTTGATTATTAACTCCTAAGATTTTTCCGAGAGCTTTCCATTAAGATAAATGGTCCTACCTTTGATTTAGAAAGCAATTTGGGATTTAAAAAATTGTGACAACCATGATTTGATGTATTTATTTTTCTCTTTAAACAATTGTATTTTGCACTTTTAAGATCTCTCTCATTAAAGACTAAGAAAGCGACTTATTTCCTGATGATTGGGATTCTAATAAGCTCTTTTCCAAGAAACTGCACATGCATTAGCCTCCAAATTACGAGCACAAGGTGTACAACAAGAAATAATAATTTTAACATTAGAACACACTACCCTTTCACAAACATATAAATACATAAATGTGCTCTTGCCAATTTTTCTAATCTGTTCTTTTCTTGGTTCTTGAATTATTAAAGACCTTACAAATAGTTTTCTTACGTTTTATCATTTTCTTCTATTTTGATAGGATTGTATTTGAGCGCAGATGCAATGTCAAATTGAGACAGAAGCTAGACTAAAAGCAGACAATATCAAAATGTGAAATCTTGGCTTTGGGCATTCATCCATTTCTTTCATGCATTAATCCATCAAATAGCTATTAAGTGTCTTCTCTCTGTGCCTGGCATTATGTTAGGAGATGAGGACACAGAATGATAAGACAGACTACCTGCCTCAGGGAGCTCACTATGTTATTGAAGAGCTAAGAAACTCCTAGACTTCCTGAAACTTCCAGATATATAGCACTTGTAGG